CAGGAGCGGGGGGGGGGGGAGGGGGGGGGATTGTGGTTGCTAGGAAAATAGAATAAAATAAACAGAGGCTCCCCCAAGCCCGCACCCAGGCCTTGGTCTCCATCCCGGGGGGCTGTGCTTCCCGGGTCTCGCTGTGCATGTCTGTCCCTCCCATCCGAGCGGATCTCCGGGACTTCGGAGCGTCTCCCACGGTGGCCCAGAGAGGGGAGGGGATGGCAGCTGCCCGGCACCCATGACCTGCCTCCCAAGCACCTGAACGTCTGGGTGATGGTCTCGGCCCTTGCCCTCCGCCCCTCCCGCCTCTGCCGCTGTCAGATCCTCTTCTCTTCTCCACAACTGGGAGCTCCAGGGAGCAGATTGTTTTGGCTGGAATTAGCCGGGCGCAGATGGTACCACCTGCTGCGCGCTCCCCACTTCTTACTGGCTTCTCTCGCAGCTCGCGAGGCCGTGCATTCTGCAGGAGCTCCGGAGAGGGGGAAGGGGGGCCTTGCTCCTGCCGGGCTCCAGCCCCGCCGTTGCGGAGGGGCGGGGGGGGGGGGAGGGTGGGCAGGGTGCTCCCGGGTGGGGGCCTGGGCAGGGTGCTCCCGGGGGTGGGGGCCTGGGCAGGGTGTTCCTGGGGGTGGGGACCTGGGCAGGGTACTCCCGGGGGTGGGGCCTGGGCAGGGTGTTCCCGGGGGTGGGGACCTGGGCAAGGTGCTCCCGGGTGGGGCCTGGGCAGGCTGCTCCCGGGTGGGGGCCTGGGCAGGGTACTCCCGGGGGTGGGGCCTGGGCAGGGTGTTCCTGGGGGTGGGGGTCTGGGCAGGGTGCTCCGGGGGGTTGTGGGCAGGGTACTCCGGGGGGTGGTGGCTGGGCAGGTGCTCCCAGGGCCGTGGCTGCCTCTGGTGCCGGGCTCGGCCTCTGCGAACCTGCGTTGGCCGCAACCATCCTGTTTTCCAGGCTGACCGGCTGCCTGTGAGTAGCCCCGGGGCAGGTGGCCCTGCAGGCGTCGGGGAAGCGGGGGGGGGGGGGGGGGGGGGGGGGGGGGGGGGCTCCTCAGCTCCAGAGCCGGGAAGGGGTGGGGCGGGAGGAGACAGAGCCTGCTGGGGGAGGACAGGACAGGTGCACTCCCGCCTACCAGGGCTGGTGGCCTTGGGGTCCCGACTTCCCCACCCCAGGAGGACTCACGGATTCCCAGACTCCCTCTGCTCCCCTATGGGGCCAAAAGACCCAAAAAGTCTCACTCCTTAAAATCCTCTGAATCATGTCTGCAAGGCCGCTCTGCTGCGCGTCTCCCCACGAGGTCACGTCACACACCTGTCAGGGCTCTCTGCCCCGCGCCGTCCTCCCCCCCCTCCGCCCCCCCCCCGTGTCCCTCCCCCGCTGCATGGTCCTCCGCCGGCCTCTTTACGCTGCACAGGCCCCAGCGCATGGCCCCACAGGCCGTGCACCCTCCTCCGGGAGCACTCCCTCCGCACCTCCCAGCCCTGCAGCCTGCCAGGCCCCAGCACCTGGCCCCCCAGGGCCATGCACCCTCCTCCGGGAGCACTCCCTCTGCACCTCCCAGCCCTGCAGCCTGCCTCAAGCACTGCTGCTTCCGAGAGAACCTTGCCTGGCACGCCCCCCTCTGCCCCTTCCCGCTGAGGTGGCCTGGCCCCCGATTTCTTCTCATTCACATTATTTTTAAAAATATATTTTATTTATACACGAGCGACAGAGAGAGAGAGAGAGAGAGGCAGAAACACAGGCAGAGGGAGAAGCAGGCTCCATGCAGCGAGCCCGATGCGGGACTCGATCCCGGGACCCCGGGGTCACGCCCTGACCCAAAGGCAGAGCCCCAACCGCTGAGCCTCCCAGTCCCCCCCCATTCACTTTTACATCATCTTTTATCGTTAACATAATCGTTTCTGTTTTCCGCTCCCTCCCCCACAACTAGGCCCCTCAGGGTGGAGCTGACTGCGCCCCTGTCTTTGCAGGGCTCAGGAAAGTGCGGGGGCGCAGCATCACTCCGCGGCTGGGCAGCCACCGAGGGACGCGTTATTCTGTGCTCAGGGAGAGGAAGCGCCCGGGTTGGGGAGGGCAGGCGGGGCTGGCGCAGCCGACATCCCCCGCGGGGCCTGGGACCCTGCCTCCCCCCCAACCCCCCTTCGGAGGTGAGCCCTGCAGCACCCAGCAGGCGCCTTCGCTCGCCAGCCACGCAGACAGGGGGCCTGCAACCGGGTGGCTGTTCCGCAGGGTTAGGGGCATCCTTAGGATCGCTGAACATTATAGGACAGAAGAATCGAGGAAGGGTTAGAGGCACCGGTAGAGGCTATAAGGCATCTTTGGAGACCCGGCTTCGGGACTCCGCTCTGCTAGGAACGACTTGGGCTTTTATTCCTTCTGAGCCCCAGAACTTTAAAAGCCAAGGCCTCAGATGAGACAAGATCTCTGCCCCCGGGTGTTCTCGCCTTGGCTCTGCTATCTCAGAGTAGTCCCACTGCAGGTGCAGGACTCTCCTGCCGCCCCTGGTACCCCAGGCCTTGCTGCTTGCTCTGACCACCTCGGATGCTTCAGAATTCAGCAGGTCTCCGTCTCTCCGTTGGAGGAGATGCTAGTTCCGGAGCCTGAAGGACCCTCAGATGATGATGTGATCGGAGTAATACCGCCTTTCCAAGGTCGATTATTTCCATTCCATCCGTGCATGAAGAGTTCTCGTGGACCAGGACAGACTGCTGGCGGGAAGCCGGGAAACTAGCTGGTTTCTTTCGATGCTTCCATAGGCGTTTGAAGGAGGGTTCCACCGTGACATGGTGAAGAGAGCATTGTCAGGAGGCTGGGGTTCCGACAGTCTATGCTCAAGGGCTTTCTAGATCATTCAGGAATAGAAACAAACCAATAACCAGTGTGGTCTCAAGGATAGGTAGGCTTCAGCTTCCTTATCTACAAGATGTGGCTGGTGCATTAACTGCTTTTATTTTTCCAAGTGTTACACACATAAAGATTCTCTTCCTTACCCAAGTCATAGGAGAGTTTTATTAAAGAACAAGAACAAGATTTTGGACACTTCTAATGCAGACACCAAACGTGTTACAATGTGGTCGGGCCATAGAGGAGTTTATAGCATGTTCATAGAGTGATCTGTAGGTGAAAGCATGTGACTCAAGGGATCAGGACAATTCCTGGAAAACTATTTGTACGAATCCTTATTTTAATCTCCATCTTCAAAACCAAGGTAGTACATAATAAGCAGCCCTTGTGGTTAGGACTCTTCTTGTTCGATAAGAGTTTTTTCTTTTATGTTCCATCACCACTTATTCTAAATCGACTGAAATGTTCCTTTGCATGGAATGGTCTTTAGTCACAGAAACCCACTTTATGTTATGGAAAAGGAAAAAAAAAGTGTTTACTCGGATGTTAGGCTGATTATTCTAAGACCTACTTTCTCCAGAAATGGCATTTTAAATGTTAAAAAAAAAAAAAAAAGCTGGGCAGGGTGGCTTGTACTTCTCTTTTCCCCCTCTTGCTTAGATGTACCTTCAGCCGGAAACTCATGAGCTCACACTTTCTAAGCATGTTCAATAATGCAGTGGTTGACCTCCACTGGATGTTTCAGGACTGCAGGAAGTGGTTGAGGGTTATTCAATAGTTGGTGTTCTCCCTTTATGTCTGCACCAATCCTGGGCTGTACTACAGAGTTGGGAAATATTGTTTGTGTTGGAAGTGGTATCTTTCAGAAGAGATGTAGAAACCAAGGTCTAAGTTGCTTGTGGTCACTAAACACACATAACGTTTTCTCTGAGTGAGGGATGTTCTTGAGTTTCCTCTCTAAATTTATATCCCTTTATTCATGTATATTTTTTCCAAGTAATTTGAAGACTCTATTCCTCTTTTCCTAAACAAAACTAGAATGAAGTATAACTATGCTTGTTTGCCCTATAACAAGACCGTTTTCGGAATGCGTAAAACTGATTCTCCTCTAAGGAAAGGTCATAAGCTAAAATCTAAGTTTCTTATAAAAAGAGTAAAGGTAAATTAATATTTTCTCTCTTTTACTGTTGGCCTATCTTCTAAATTACATAGCGTTTTTTTTTTTTTGCGATGTTGTCTTCTGAACCTTTTATTTTTCCAGTACCGACATTTTAAGTGTTTCTCATTTGTGCAAGATAACAATATGATTTATAAAATGTCTCAAAAAACATTCCATTCCAGCTCCTTTCACCTCTAGTGTTGCTTTTTAACACTAAATATTCACTGTACACATACCAAGTCTACAAAACCTATGCACGCACACACACTCTCTCTCTCTCTCTCTCTCTCTCTCATCCTTCCATTTGACCACTCTGAAAATGGTCAGAACAGGATAGTAATGCACAAATCTTTCTTTGAATGTTTCCTTATGTTAGATCAATTCCTTCTGAGTTCTGGGCTTGCCAATGCTAAATTTCCTGCCAGGGCAGTAGTCTATTTTTAACATTTTGGGGGCTTATTCTTCGTTCCAAATCTAACAGGCATATTCTGTGAAGTGAAAGAGAGAAAGCTGATGGGTACTCTTACAAATCAGGACCATCAGGATTTGCAATTTCTGTAGAATCAAAGATATGAATGAGAAAGACCAATTAGAACACTTAAAAGATCATTTGTCACTGCTTTAATCTTCATGTACTTTTTACTCATCATTTTCTTTGACTAAAATTATCAGAATCTTTGTCATATTCATCTCAAGGCCAAATGGGAACAGTCGTGTGCATTTTATATTTCCAATATTTTGGAGCATTTTAACATGTCATACTAGATTATGGGTGGTGGGTGCCTGTTTTAATCGAGAGAGTTTTAGTTTGTGGCATATTCAGCATCATGACATCCCAGTGTCATTCCTCTAGCTCCGTATTTCACGTACAAATGAAGACTGAGGGATTTATTTTTGTTATTCAATAGCATTTGTTGAATTCAGAGATTAATAGATCATCTTCAACCCTGAAACAGAGGCCCTCTGAAACATCAGACCCAAAAAATTGGACACGGCCTATTAACCCAAAAGAACAGGTTGCCAATGATCTCCATGTTTATTTAAATATTTAGCTCTAAAGGAAGCAATCATTCCTTTATACTTCTTTAAATTTAGTATTGACATTTTTATTTTGGGAAAGGAGGTCTTTTTTTTTTTTAACATGGATACAGGAAAAGAAAACTCTCCAATAAAAATATTGTCTAAAAAGTTTGTTTTGTCTGCATGATTTACTAAATATGTACAATTTCAATTCACAGCGAAGGTAACAAAGATTTAAACAGCCAACATCACAAATGTCTCAAGTTCTAAAAAAAAATCACTGTGCACAGTTTAACAATTTAATTGAATAAAAACCAAAGCTAAGCCTTCAGTCTGAATCTTTTTTATGATGGGCACAAGCCATGTATTTTCTTCATCT